TGGTTGTGTCCTTTGTGGTTGTGCTGGCGGTATTGAGATTTGGCCTCGCACATTGAATTTACTTGTTCCCCTTTCGGTGTCAACCCGCAGGTGATGGACCCGTCTTGCGTGACCTTGTTATCAAGTATGGAGCTGTAGAGCCCCTGTTGGCCCTCATGGCCATGCCAGATCTGTCCATGCTGTCTGTGAGTTTCACTTCCCCAACGCTTTCCCAACACTGCACATCTAGGGCTTCTGATTGTCATGCTCTCTTACACTATTATTGATAGTCAACTTGTGTTAATTGTTAAAGTGGATGAAACCAGTTTAACGATGCGTATGCTTTCGCGATCAATATTATGGATGAAGTTGTAATGAAAGTGCAGCTATTGGGCTTAACGTTGTCATTCGGTTTCCCCGTGCACAGGTGAGCTACCTGCGCAACCTGACGTGGACGATCTCAAATCTGTGCCGCAACAAGAAGCCCCCTCCCCCTGAGGAGGCTGTGCTGATGCTGCTGCCGGCGCTGGTGCGGCTGCTGCACCACGAGGATCGGGAGGTGCAGACGGACGCCACGTGGGCGCTGTCCTACCTGAGCGATGGCCCCAACGATCGCATCGAAATGGTGGTGGCGGCCGGTGTGGTGCCGCGCCTTGCACAGCTGCTCGCCTCGCCAGAACTCACTGTGCTGGTGGGTGATCATAACCGCATACACCGCGTCACCACATCACTTGCAACACTCGTGGAAACTCCCGTTACTCGCTGCTTACAAAGAACGTAAGAATTGCTCGCACGACCAGTCAACACTTATCATTAACACTGCCGTTGATCTGAATCGACAAAAATAGATTCAGAGTTAATTATCTTTTTATATCTATATTGCTTCTACATCAGGACACTCCCTTACGTTTTATTTTAATAAAATTGGTGTGATTTAAAGTTGGAGAACAAAGATGTCTGCTTGGTAGCTTCTGCTTGGTATCAGGTTTTTTGCCTTTTTCGGAGTAATGTCACCACTCGTGTGTTTGTACTTTGTCCTCAGACTCCAGCGCTCCGAACAGTGGGGAACATCGTGACGGGCACAGACCAGCAGACGCAGGCGGTGATAAACACCGGCGTTCTTCCAGTGTTCCAGAATCTGCTGCGTCATCAGCGCAGCAACGTGCAGAAGGAGGCTGCTTGGGCACTGTCGAACATCACGGCTGGGCACGCCGAGCAGATCAACGCCGTCATCACTGCTGGCCTCATCCCCCCGCTGGTCGAAGTCCTGCACAAGGTGGGGGATACGTGCGTCGTGTGTTTTATTTGAGTTGAGGTTCACCAAATGGTTTGACTTGTCACGAGCTCTTTGTAATCCAGATTGTAGATTTAACTTTGACTTGTTTTTAATGAACGTGCAATCATTTTCAGAATCAGCTTTTAAAGTCCTTTGTTTACCATAATGGTGAGTTGGACGTTTTCTGTTAAAAAACTCTAATTTGAAGTCGCCAAAACAATCGATTTGTGTGTATACAAAAAAAATTAAATGACATTTGCATTTGATTACAGCCATTGATAAATTGTATAATGACCACACTTGTAAGACTGCCGTGTAACTAACGTGACATTCTAGGATTTTACCCGGAGGATCGAATGTCTACGGTTTGAGCCGCAGTGCTAGAGTGGAGGCTAACCAAAGTCTGTTCTTATTCCTGTCGTACCCAGGGAGAATTCAAAGCCCAGCGCGAAGCGGTGTGGGCGGTGACGAACCTGACGTCGGGTGGCACTGTGGACCATATCGTGTACGTGGTCCAAGTGGGGGCCATGGAGCCCCTGCTGTCTCTGCTTGAAGTCAAGGACAGCAGCACGGTGCTCATCATCCTGGACGCCATCACCAACATCTTCCAGGTTTGACTTTTCTTCCTCAAAACAGTTATCTGGCTTAGTGGTGAAGACCTTGAAATGGTTAATTTTTACATGTGTTGCAAAATTTTTAAAATGTAGTAAGGACCCCTAATGTATTTCGGTCCCAATTAAAAAGTACCTGCAGGGGTGCATAGAATAGTATAGGATAAACCTGCAGCACTTTGCAAGCACACTTGATTGCGTCATGTATTAAGGCTTAACGTGTAGCTGTTTCCAATATGAATTCTGAATGACTGCTTGCTGTCGGCTGGCATATTTTTGATCGCCTTGCAGAGTGTTGATGTCCCGGTGTACGTGGTGCGGTTTGTGCACAGGCTGGTGACAAGGTTGGCCAGACGGACAAGCTGTGCATGATGGTGGAGGAGCTCGGGGGACTGGATAAGATTGAGCACCTCCAGTCGCACGAGAACGAGGCAGTGTACAAGGCTGCCCTGAACATCATCGACAAGTACTTTTCTGAGGTGCGTCCTGGCGAAGCGCTGCTGCTGGCTGCGTTTGCGCTGTATTGAAGTTGTGGCCGTTTTTTGGAAGATTGTGAGATGGTTTAGGCCCATATTTTTTCATTTTCACAGCAAATTTGTAAGACCTTGTCGATGTTTTATCACTAAAAAGGCAAATCACAAATGAAGTTCTCGCTTGACATTATAGTGCTGTGTTTTGGGTGCTTTTTGTTGGCAGGACGACAGCGAGGCGGAGAACTTGGTGCCCGAGGCTGGGGAGCAGGGGTACAACTTCCAGGTGGCAGACGAGCAGCACGGAAACTTTGCCTTCTGAGCCGCCCTCCCTCCCAGTGCACCTCCTCCACCCACCATTCCTCACGCTTCCCCCCCCCCTTAATTGGGAGTGGGGCGAGAGATTTCGCGCTTCGGGCATAATAAACTGCCGCAGCGAATTTTAAAACAAGATGCTGGAAATTAGCGACTGACGTGTCCATTTCACCCTCGTCTGTGTTTTTTATGTGTCTCTTCTTTCAACTCTCTCTGGGCCTCTTGGGCGATCCAGTGTAACACTAGACCGCTCTCGGGCACACGAGGCTCCTGAGGTTGCTGCTGTGTCATTGTGTTGGTTGTGCTCGTTTTGACTACCACTGCCGTTTGTAGCAGCTAACATCCACTTTTAATGTGAATACGTACTGCAGTCTACTTGAATTTGGCTTCAAACATTCTTTTGTACACAGTATTTCTTTAAATAAAAATGTGTGAATATGCAAGTGTGAAATATTTCATCTGTATGGTGAGGTGCTTTAATTTTCTGTTGGTGAACGGAAATTCCTGAACACGCCTATGTTAGAGAAGGCTTAACACTTATGTTTTCGCGACCAATATCCATAAAGGTTTTTTGGGGTTGGATTGCGTTAATGTGGTGTTAAACCTGCCACCACCTGAAAGGCAATTAGGTTTGTCACGTAAACAAAACATGTCGGTTCTTTAGTACAGCACACCGGTGTGTTGGAAAGCAAATCCACAACATTTACAATATTGCGCACGACGTTTTGCCAGTAATTACAACTAGCGTCATCAGGCGACAACCATATTTGTGGCGAAATCATGTTTCATTCTTTGGAGGGATAATTGTCGCCCGAGCCATTTGGGTGGGGAGGCCAGAAGAGGAGGTGGGGGAGGGGGGTGATGTATACATATAAAGTACAATGGGTTGTAGGGAAATCGTACATTATGCTTATACATACTGACTTTTTTTTAAGTGCACGAAATTTGCAGTACCTGTTGCCGTCTGCTGTCCCAACACACCGGTGCGTTGTACCAGGAACGAATTTATTTGTTTTATGTGACGAGTCTTGCTAATTGGCTGTCGTGACGGGTTCAACAAAATAAAAACCAAGTGTATATTGTAACTACATGGTAATTTGTGGATATCTCAGGCTGTACCCTAAATCACTTCAGTCTTTTCCTGTCATTTAATGTGGCAAAAGTAGAGGGACCATTATCTCGGTTCACATTCCACCGGTATCCGTACAATGGTCTCTTGACGCAGCGTATCGTCTAAGTTTGTGGGAGCTTGACCATTGTCGGCCTCGATCTACTGGCAAACCCGAACGTTCTGACCATCTGGGTGACAGGAGAATTCATTTGTACCGAGACCTGATGGCATTGTAAAACTATACAGTACAAGGTACTGCTCGGTCTTCATAGACCGGGGCCTGCTGTGCAAATTTTCCCCGGATTTGGTTGTGGGAATACATGCATTCATTCAGCAGTGGATTGATCATGGGTGGTAAATGGGGAGATGGTCATGGATGGTGCCGTGGTGGGGATTTGCATTGCTTCAATTACGCTTCCTATGCACAATCGTCAACAGCATTGAGAAGACATGTAATAGATTATTCGGGAAATTGCCCTTTAAAGGACGGTAGAACCGAGGTAAAGAAGGCCCATTGCCTGAAACGTTACGTAGTTTTTTTTTAAGCAGTGTTATTGCCGAATGCGAATTTTGTTAATTGTGCGCGACTGCGAACGCCGTAGTAGCATCACCGCAGTTTATTGAACGATTACAGCACAAGTTTAGTGTTATATTTGTGTAGCGATAGTTCCTATACTTTGCACTCCAATAGTTTATTTGTTGTTACGTTCTGACCCCCCCCCCCCCCTACTGGACATTGTACAAAAAAAGCGCTTTATAGCTCATCGGATTCCATAGCTGTCCACCCATACGATTTGTACCATGTATTCTTGTACAGGGAAATTGAGTTTTCAGGTTCATACAGCCGTTTCAATGCGGGCAACAAGACTTTGTCTGTTTGTTCCATTGTGATGGGACTTTGTAGGATGAATGGTGAAAGGGCGCGGGGTGACCAATAAAGTCTGAATTGGTCTTTAACAAGAAAGGCACTGATCAGGGGGTTGACTGCTATGATATCCCTTTGGATTAAAAATGCAGTACATACATTCTCATTCTGAAGCTGTTCACGTTCGTGCAAAGACGTCACGTGACAGGCCACGTTGAAAAGCACTCCCCGCGCGCGTCATTTTTGCCTAGAAGAAAACGTCACGTGACCCCCCCCCCGCCGCCTCCCTCCCGATTTACACTTGCGACGTCATACATTCGCGATGACGTCATGTAACCCCACTTTTTTATGTCGACGCCACCGGACTCCATTTTAAGAAGGTCGGTGACGTCAGAGCAAAGGCAGGCGCCATTTTGAAGCTTGCGAGTGGCGTCGTCCCCGTCGCGTCCTCTTCTTCTTCCTCCTACAGCGCGACGACTTCTTCTGCGTCCACCTCGTCTACCGTCGTCGTTTTCTACTCCGTCGTCGTTGTCGCCAACGTCTCTTCGACATGCCGGGGTACAGCGATAGAGATCGCGGCGATAGAGATCGCGGCCGCGACAGGTTCGTTAGAGAACAACAACGCGAGGGGTGGAGTTGGGGGCGGGGGGGAGATCAAACAACAACAACAACAGCAGCGATACTAATAACAACACATAAGAGTAGTTATTATACGTAATAAAGCAACGCAAAAATAACGGTTTATTTGTTAAAAAAAAGTAACGTCTTAATTTGCGTGAGGACATCGCACAAAGGCGGGGGAGGCAACGGGTGAAGGTGCTGACATTAATCGCTTGTTAAATACGTAACGAGGGCAATGATAGCACACCGACACATTGCAACAATACTAACACCTGTAATACACGCAACATGCTAACAGTTGTAATAACTATAATATAGGGCTAACGTTACGAGAGAGCAACTATAAAAGTAAACATTTCCCGACGCTGCGTTGGCGACGCGACACGGTCAATAACACCGCGGGTCTGCCAATGATAACATGTGCTACGTTAAGGCCAATGGCATGTGTTACTAATGAAGCATATTGACCGGTACGCGGTTAGAAGTTAAGCGAGAACTTCGGCGATAATGTAATAATTTCACAGCGAGACACGTCCCTACTGTAGTAGTACTGTAGTAGGGACGTGACGCATCTTCGGCAAACTTAAAATATAACTCGTGACTCGACGAGACGTTAAAACTTAAATATATAAACGAACATGACGAGATAACATTCACAACCTGCTATTAACGTCCAAAGAGATACTATTCAAAAAAACATTGTACATTTCGTGACGCAGCGCCAATAATGACCACAATAACAAAAATGTTGCAATCCACGACGCAATGACGCATTGGGCAATCGAGTGGATCCGAGTTTCGAGTTTTATCAATCCCCCTGGGTCAACAAGGTTGACCCCGGGTCAGCGAGGTTGCCCCTTGGTCAGCGAGGTTGACCCCGGGTCAGCTAGGTTGACCCCGGGTCAGCGAGGTTGACCCCGGGTCAGCGAGGTTGCCCCTGGGTCAGCGAGGTTGACCCCGGGTCAGCGAGGTTACCCCCGGGTCAGCGAGGTTGCCGCTGTGTCAGCGAGGTTGCCCCCGGGTCAGCGAGTTTGACCCCGGGTCAGCGAGGTTGACCCCGGGTCAGGTACAGAAAAGTTTATCAACTTAATCAGTGCGGTGGGCCTTTTTTTCCAGGTGCTCTCCCAATTTTTATTTCCACGAAGTAAAAAAAGGGAAATATAGCATTTAAAAAACGAATTTGCTGTCTCGATGTAGGCTCCTCAAGTGTATTATATTATAATAGGGTTTCCCCCTTTTTTCTGGCAACAAAACAGCTGTGTTAAGACGTTAAAACACCAAACTGAAACCTTTTACAAGGAATCATGTCTGCATTAACCACAATACTTGTGGTCAGAATGCAAACAAAAAACATACTCTGATAATACTGTATATGCATTGACTTTAAAACTGATTGGTCCACACCAGAGACATCTTTCGAGCCTAGTCTCAAACGGTGTTATATTCGCCATGGCTGGGTGAATACATTTATAATTTGCGTAATAGCTATAATTAAAAACTACGAAATAAAGTAAACATCTGTAACAAGCATAACCACGCCAAAATATTTGCAATTGAACAGATAACCATAAAAAACAATAATTCTCATTGCTTTTATACAAATAAACACGCTGCCGACATTCTTTGGTCTCAAGCCGAGAATCACCTCCACGACATTTCTCTCGGACAACAACGTCGATCAGAATACAACCACTCATCGATCTCATAACCACACAGTAACGATCATTTATGACGAACGACTAAAACAAACATTCCCTTTACCATATATTCTTGGTTCTTTCGGTAAATTCACGTAGAAGGGAAACAATAAAATAAATTCTATTAGTTTATTGTTTCCCTTCTACGTGACTTTACCGAAAGAACCAAGAAAGCTTTAAATCAAAATTCACTGTACTGTAACAGCCACAGCAAAATCCACCACCATAACAAGTCTGGGGGACAACTAATGTAATGCGAGGTTGGGAAGCACGGGCACTTTGCTTTGACCGTTGATGTTTACTTTTTGTCATTGTCTATTCCAGTTATTGCCGTATTCTCCGGATTTTAGAGACGTTCTGGAAAGTAACTGCGCAACGTAAACTCGTGCCTTAAAATAAACCCAAAAAGAAATCGACACGCTCGTCAGCAACACAAAAAAACATCGGCAAGGGGGTGGTGGGTGCTTTTTAAATCCTGAGAATACGTTGATATAGCAACTGAAATATGGAGATTGATTATGCCTCAGCTGTAGATGTTTATGGGCAGTCAAATGCTGTATTCTGTTGGCTATTATACACGGCTTGCGTGTTCTGTAGGTATACCAATGAGGCTAGCCCCGTGTGTTTTTACGTTGTCCAAACCCCCTGAACAAGTCGCTGACAGGGTGGGGTGAAGGTCACCACGGATGCGGCCCGCTCAGCCGTAGCCCAGGCCACGTGACCTCCCGTACATGGAGCTGTGGGTCCTCGACTCTTTCAAGGCTAGCCCTGCCTTGGTCCGGCACTGTAATTTAGGCGTGAAAACGTAGAAGCACAATTGAACCTTCTGTCGGTACCCCGGCTCTCGCATAATGTCCGTGATGCAGTCATTTTTAGTCTGCCGCATCGCCGGCCATCAACAGTCGACTAATCTCGACGAGCTGTACACGATGCACTATTCACAGTTGAATTTTTCGATAACGGATTTTTTAAATAAATGTTTGGCGTTTCGACATCGCTGAGTAGCACTGATTTCGGATTGATTGGTACCCCAGTCGCGGAGTTAAGTAACACCCCTGGAAAAAATAGTGTCCCAGAAATAAAATTTAATTGCCTCGGCCGTTTTGTATTATTTGGTACCCTGGGGCACCACCATGAGGATCATTTGGTCATGAATCCTGGCAGGGAGCCAGGCGCACTTGGGTGTGGGATGCACTCATCCTGGTTCACGTGAGCAAAGGCATGAACCAATGTCCCAAGTGAGTGTTGAGTTATACAGATGGTTTAAGTGTGTAAATTGTATAAATGTTATTGGTGAATGTATGGCACTAGGCTCACTGTGTTACTTAAGCTGACATTTAAAATAAGCAAAAACCTTGATATTTGTTAACTGTTAAGTCTGTATTTCAGTTTGAAGTTAGTGTCTCTGTCGTAAAACTATTAATGAGGTGGAATATCGTGGCAATTTCATATTCTCTTGGCAGGGGCCAACATTTAATTTTCCACAAAAAGATAAAACCAACTGAGCAAACCCGTACTGGAATTTGAATTGTAATCCACATAAGTGAAGCGATTTAACCACAGCACCACACGGCAGCCAATAAAACACATCCCTCCACTCCTGAATTAGGTGGGGTCGTGATTCCAGCCCGCGCTTCGGCAGCAGCCGCGGGTTCGGTGGGGGTGACCGCGGTGGTGGCGGCGGCGGCGGCATGAGGAAGTTCGGGCAGCCTGGCGAGAAGTTGCGCAAGGTCAAGTGGGACATGAGCAAACTCCCACGCTTCGAGAAGAACTTCTACGTGGAGAGTCCCAACGTGGTACGCCGGAGCCAGGTACGCAGGTGCTGTGCCACGGGAAGTGGTAAGTGGTTGAAAGGTATAAAAAAGGGGGCCATACCTGGAAAAAATGAGGGAGTGGACAGTGGTCAACCTAAAAAACTAGCCAAGCAGCCCTTAGCACAATTCTCAGACGAGTCACCCAGCTCCTATCGTTTATTTTTTTGCTTTCAAAGGCATGAGGCAAAAAACACTTGAGCTATTTTATGCAACTGGCCCTTGACACCCAAGTTCAAAATGTTATGTTTGTCCCAGCCGCCTTTTGTTTACTTAGTCTATCTTAAGGACCCTCTAGTTTTATGGAATATTGATGTTTTTGTTGCTGTGCTCGTGCACCACGGATTTTGTAAAAATATCTTAACTATTGTGTAGTCGTCACCTTGGGTGTTTACTGCTCTTGCCTCTCAGTATGTGGTGTGCATCTTGTGTGAGAACCCAACATCACGGCCTTTGTTGTGTGCGCAGCACGAGGTGGATGAGTACAGGCGGAAGAAGGAGATCACGGTGAAAGGGCAGAGCTGTCCCAAACCGGTTTTCAGTTTCGAGGAGGCCAGCTTCCCTTGTGAGTAGAACCAATCAATAGCGTACATTTCATACATTTTGCAGCACGTACACAAACAACTTATTAAAGGAATGTCGCTTATGTTACCATATTCGCAACTTTTCCCATGACAAACCTTGCGCAGCACGCAGTAGGTTTGTTTACTTGTACTGGATATCATCTTTCTGAGAGTTTTGAGTTGCATAGTAGGCAAGTAGCTGGTGTTGAGTCTGTATGATGCTACGTTTTCAGCCTACGTGATGGACGTCATAAAGCAGCTGAACTTTAAGGAGCCCACCCCAATCCAGGCACAGGGATGGCCCTTGGCGTTGAGCGGGCAGGACATGGTTGGCATCGCCATGACGGGCTCAGGAAAGACCCTGGCTGTGAGTGCCTCCGCCCTTTTCACCACTTCGCCAGTGACGTATGACTCGGTTGGGCACTCACAGAGTTGTGCCTCTTGTGCTTCATGCCACAGAAATCTTAAAATACATCCTTGTTGCTCTGTTTATTTGCAGTATTTGCTTCCAGCCATCGTGCACATTAACCACCAGCCCTTCCTGGAGCGTGGCGATGGCCCAGTGGTGAGTACTATATCTGAGGTGATTGTTCGAGATGAGCATGATCTGCATGTTTTACAATCTCTGTTGGTGTCTTGTGTTAAGTGGACACGATGTTAAATAATGTGTTGTTAATTTATATTGTTATATAACTGATCAAATTTAAATTGTAAACATTGACTCATTAAAATTGTAAACATTGAGTGATTGAAGTTAAGGAATGTGAAATATCTACCTGTTTAATATTAGAGATTGCTGTGGATTATTTAAAACACTCGTGATATCGGTGAAAGTGATGCCGAAATGGAGCAGGTATGGCTAATCGTGCTCGTTTGCAGGTGCTGGTGCTGGCACCAACGCGTGAGTTGGCACAGCAGGTGCAGCAGGTCGCGCAGGACTACGGCCGCTTGTCACGCATCAAGTCCACGTGCGTGTACGGTGGAGCCCCAAAGGGCCCACAGCTGCGCGACCTTGAGAGAGGTGCGCTCCCCTGTCATGCGTTCATCGTGCTCTGAAGCATCAACGTTTAGATTTCAGATTTATATTGCTCTACGCATTTTCCCAGTTCATCAATCTTACTGGATTGCGGTCAAGACTGCTCGTTATTAAATTGTCCTAAAGATCTTGTGGTTATATGTGGCAAACTGTATTTTTTATTCCATTCCTAAAAATATGTAATGCTAACATACTCTTTTAAAAATGCTATGAAATCCCTTCCCTAGGTCGTACTAAAGTTTTTACACAATTGCTGGTACGAGTATCTTTTCTGGTCCAACGGTGCCAATTGCATTGCCGTGTGGACATTGTGCCGAAGGTAGAATCGCGATGTGCTCCGTCTTTTCTAGGAGTTGAGATCTGCATCGCCACCCCGGGGCGCCTCATTGACTTCCTGGAGTCGGGCAAGACAAACCTACGGCGCTGCACCTACCTGGTGCTGGACGAGGCCGATCGCATGTTGGACATGGGCTTCGAGCCACAGATCCGCACCATCGTTGACCAGATCCGGGTATTATGATATGATATAAAACCATTTGAACAAATGAATTGCGTTTATTCAGAATATAAGATTCTGTTGGACATTAGCTCATCATGAGCTGTGAAGTATAGGCTTAACCAAAAGTCGAAGGCTCACAGATTACTGATGCTGTGCTCGGTGCTTGCATCGTCCGTGCAGCCGGACCGGCAGACGCTCATGTGGAGCGCCACGTGGCCCCGGGAGGTACGACAGCTTGCAGAGGACTTCCTGAAGAGCTACATCCAGATCAACGTGGGCTCCATTGAGCTATCGGCCAACCACAACATCCTGCAGATTGTCGACGTGTGCATGGACAGCGAGAAAGACAGCAAGTGAGTTGATGTGCATGGCCGTCAAGGGTTCGCGTGACTGCTGGGACTCGCTTCTGCAGTTGTGCACACTGCTCGGCCCATGCCTTATCTGCCTATTTAATATTGCTGACACTTGTCAGCACTATGAAGCAAATAACTAGAAGGCGTGTAACAATTCTTACCCCCTGAGATTTAATATATTGTCAAAATTTGGACTTTCATTCACAATTTATACACTATAGTTTTCATTGGCTTCAATGTAACAGCATATCATCGACAGGATAATTTTAATTGTAAAGTCTCATGGTGGCAATGACCTACCAGCTGTGGAGAGTTCACCGCTGGACGCAATGTGCTTGTGGTTGATGAAGAATGTGTATGTACGTGTCGTTAGGCTGATCCGCCTGATGGAGGAGATCATGGCAGAGAAGGAAAACAAGACGATCATCTTTGTGGAGACTAAACGGCGTGTGGATGACCTGACACGGAGGATGAGGCGCGACGGGTGAGCCTGCACTCTTCTCACGTCAGAACGCAAGCACACTCGCACCCAAGCGCAGTTGCCCATACCTCTTAATGGTGTCACAGTATGTCATTCGCACGGGGTGGGGTGTGGGTTATGGTCATCAGCCTGTGTTGGCCTTAATATGGGCGCACTAACGGTATAGCCTTTGTTATTGATGTCTACATTTTTTTCATTGATGGACTTTTGTGTGCAGATGGCCGGCAATGTGCATTCATGGAGACAAAAGTCAGCCGGAGCGAGATTGGGTTCTGAGTGGTAAATGCAATCAGTCACAAATTGTTAATTTGCCTCCAAGGATATCAGAAAATTCCCATTTGCAATTTTACAAAGTTTGCAATCATTCATCATTACAGTTGGCATTGACTTTTATTTGTTGCAACTCCCTCTGTGCATATGTGTTCATGTATTTATGCATGAACCCCATTTGTTTTCTTGCAGAATTCCGCACTGGCAAGGCCCCCATCCTCATTGCGACTGACGTTGCTTCTAGAGGACTAGGTCTGTAAATATTTGCAAATGTTGATTCAAATTTTTAAGCACATCTACTTTTTTTCGCATTGTGAGGAATTTGGGGAGGCTTGGCCAAACGTGCAATGTGTGATGAACGCCTGTGTATAATTGTGCTCTGTGTTAGTGTTCCCTGCGACGATAAGGTGCAGGAGTTTGGCCTTGCGCGCGGCAGGGCCTTGGCATGACGGCCAGGGGACACGAGCGAGCCGGAGAGGCCTCTAGGCGCCAGCCACCCGTCCACCGCCTAGCAGCCTACTCGTGTAGTCTGCCTCGGCTTAAACCGAGGGCCTCTGTGGGCGCCACTGTGGGCGCCAGTGCTCATCGCCTGCACTGCCGCCACTTGGGAAAATGCTAAGCTGCCTTAACGCGGGCTGTTCTCTCTTAAAGCCTGCCCGCTGTCCTGCCGCAGCCCAATCTGCCGGCCAGTGACGCTGAAGTTGGCTGCAAAGCCAAGGGCGTGCTTCATAAAGCAGCGTGTCCAACAGCACGCACACAACAGGTGGAACGCCTACGGCAGATGGACATGCTTCTGCCTGCTGGAGTTGTGGGCCGACTTAGGCAAAAATGCAACTGAAGACATTGATAATATGGTTAGTAATTGTTGAAAACGCGAGAGAGCAGCTGCAGCCTCCTACCCGGACAAGCGTCCGGGAGTGGGGCAGCATTCCCAGCGTCCCATTTGAAATGACGGCGATGACCACACTGGCCCGACAGCCCAGAGCCCTGAGGTATTTTAAGTTGAGCGGGTGGCTTTAGCCTGGCTGTGGAGCGCCTGGTTCCTCCCTTGCCGTGCAAGTCATGTCAGGACCTGCCACCGCCAAATTGGGATGTTGCATTCCATGTGATTTCAGGCAGTGCACTTGATAGCAATCAAAACCCTTTTATTTACTCTTCAACTGCATTTTCAGCAGCACTCAGAATTTGAGTTGGGTCAGAGTGCAATTGGCAAGTAGCCATGCCCCACAGTACAGAGGCACTGTCTGAGCCCTTGGCGGTAAGCAACCCTTGGTGACTGACCAGTGGCTGGTGCGACCGGCTTGGCTCAAGGCATCGGCTGGCTATTGTGACCAGCTGGCAACAGCAGTGACTGGTGCGATCAGCTGGCCAATGCGACCATCCGGCTATCAGAGTGGCTGGTGAGACCGGCTGCCTGGCCACTGGGGGTTGCCAACGAACGCTGGACACTTGCCAGCACTCGGCCGCGCAGAGTGCGACTGGCGCCCCCTCGTGGATTGGACATCCGAAAAGCGGGTGCCTGTCCGTCATGCCCGTGGCGGGGCACGATGGTGGAATCGTCTTGATAGGCACGCACGCACTCACAAACACGCACGCACCGGCATATGCAGTAGAATGTGTGCTCTCTTCCCACTGAACAACTCCGGGCAAAGGTAAGTGGCTAATCCTTGCACGACCGAGTCTGACTTTGTGTGTGTGGCTGTCTTGCGGTGTGTAAATGGCGCCTTGCTGCGTCACCCTTCAGACGTGGAAGACATCAAATTTGTCATCAATTACGACTACCCAAACTCGTCGGAGGACTATGTACACCGCATAGGCCGCACAGCTCGCAGCACCAACAAGGGCACTGCCTACACCTTCTTTACTCCATCCAACCTCCGCCAGGCCAACGACCTGGTGAACGTTCTACGAGAGGCCAACCAGGCCATCAACCCCAAGCTGCTAGAGCTGGCTGGCGGGGCCCGTGGAGGCAAAGGTATTGCACAGATAACATTCATTTTCACTTTGCGAAATATACTGGAAATTAGCATTGAGATTATTTTGCTTTGGGTTTGAGTTCATCTTTCACATTGGTACAGTAAACAGCAATTGAATGTAGGTCCTTAACAGGGTGGTGGTTTGTGCAGGGATGTGTGACCGCATGCTGTATTGAGCATGTCCCCCCTCCCTTTTGTCTATATACAGGTCGCTCCCGGTACCGTGGTGGTGGTGGAGGTGGCGGCAGTTACCGCGATGACAGCGATGACGATCGACGTGATCGCTTCGGAAGTCGTTTTGGCTCCGGCCGAGATCGCGACCGAGACCGTGGTGGTCGGGACCGCGATAGCGGGAGCAGTCGGGATCGTGGGTACGGGTTATCAGGAGGGAACAGAGACTCTGGCTCGAACCGAGATGCTGACAGTAACAGCAGCCAGAGCCAGATGCTGCAAAAAAGCCTGCTAGGGTTAGCACCACAAGGTGGTCTATCCCTAATAGGCCAGCCAGGTCTCCTGGGACTGATCCCTTCTTTCTCTGCTGCCAGGGACGGTAAGTTGGCCCAGGTGGGTGGGGACCAAAGCTCGCAGCAGTCAGCACAGCAGCAGCAGTTTCTTACAGCGAGCACGCCCCAAATCTCAACCCTCCTTGCGCAGCAGTACAGTCAGTACCAGTCACCCATGCCGCTCATGAGCCTCAACTTCATTCCTGACATAAACCAGGCGAACTTCTGTTTGCCTACGAATGGTGTTGTACCCCCTCCTCCCCCACCCCCTCCTCCCCCAGGAGTTAAAAACTGATTTCACTTTTCATTTCTGTTCACTTGTGTATTAACACTTCGAAAGTAGATCAAACATTTAAGGACATTTACTTATATATACTTTTGTTCCTTGATTTAGAAAAATGGTGTAAAAGTGATTGTCCAACTCCATTCCTCGTGTCCCACGAGTGTGACGATTGGACTTTTAATATGGACTCAGGGTGGGGGGGGGGGGAACTAGGAATGGAGTTAGGTTCTGCATTATCGGGGCAATCATCCCATGGTAAGTAGCATGTTTTTGGTTTAAACAAAAAAGTCCTTGTGAAGGTGTTTGACACATTCCCATTTATTTGTATAGTCTTAACCTTTTCAGAGCTATGTATTTGTAGTGTTACCAAATTATGGCGTAGCACTCATGTTTGTATCGTTTTCAATAAAGGCCAATGAGCACACGAGTGGTCAGTGTGGTGGTGTGCGACACGTTTGTGGTCTCGGATCGCTTTTTTAAGCACAGCGAGACAAAGGGAGCCATTACGTCTTTGAGGCATTTTCTTTTCACATTGTCTATATTCTGTCTTAGCTCAAATCTTCAGATCTAGGAAGCCTAAAAGAGCTCCATGTTGTACTCGTCTCGCGTGACAATTCAATATCTCAACTGTTCTAGATCCCGCTGATCCTGAGCCTCTTGGTATTGTTTTACTTAAAAAACGTATTGTACAATTTATAAGAATGTACAAATATTTGTAACGAATTTTTTTAAAAATTTACATGATCAAGTGTTTTGGAAATAAAATTGGAAAAATTCTGGGGTCAAGAATTTGGATGCAATTTTAACGAATCTATTACTGGTGGAGGGTCTCTTCACGCTGGTCAGTATGGCGAGAAGCGAAGACGAGGCAGTGTATACAGTACAGGAACTAATGAATATCGACTTAGAAACGTTCAGAAATACGAACAGACCTCTGCATGTCATGTAGATTTCATCTGCAGAACATGAGCCAGTAGCAACTACATCTGTAGCCAATAAAGAACCAGTGGCATCTCCAGAACATGAACCAGTGACATTTACATCTGCAGAACATGAACCAGTGGCATCTGCAAAAAACTAAGAACCAGTGGCATTTGCATCTGCAGAACATGAAGAATCAGTGGCATCTACATCTGCAAAAAATGAAGAACCAGTGGCATTTACATCTGCAGAACGTGAAGAACCAGTGGCATCTACAGGAGATAATACAATTCTTAAAGCCATTCCCCGTGTTTAGTGTACACGCCGTGCAGCGCGTTTCGAATCGACGGGGAGTAAACGTTGGGACTCGCGAACAAATCGACTTGGGAACAGCCCTCTGGTACCCAACTCGTCCGTCAACAAGAGTCCCTCTACAGCGGAAGAGCCACCACCCTCGACCTCCCACCCCCTCCCCGCACGCTGCTTTACGGCCAACAAAAATGCAACCGGCGCTCGTTGCGTTCCCGTTGAGGCCACCGGAAGTCTCCAACCGCGTGCTGCCCGACCACTTCCGCCTCCCCGCCAGGCTCACGCCACCCGCTGGCGTCCTTCCCCACCCCTCCTCCTGCGCCCGCAGATCGCAAAGCGCGGTAGTTTGCACTGTCGTGTTAGGGAGGGGTGTTGCGGGAAGAGTTATCGTCCAGTTACATACTAATTAATATGTACAAGGTGAAGCCGTTCTACAGCTCGGCGCCGCTGGAGGATCTGCCAGGCTGCATGTACCGTCTCCCGGGCGTCCACGCCGCCCCCCCCGGGGTCGCCGCTGCCGCTGCCTCGCAGGTGCGGGGGTGCCCGGCAGGGCTGTTAGGAAAAGCGTGTAGGCTTGGGCCTTGCGCCGCTCGGATTGAGGGGACATTTAACGCGAACACGGGATAAAAAAAATGTCTCCTGGGCTTAAGTCTCGCGGGGAGGTGTCCGCTTGCTGCCGTTGTCGTGGCGAGTTTGTTTCCTTGTTGTGGTACAATGAGAAAGTTTTAATAAAATAGCGTTCAGCGCCACCGTGAACACGGCCTCTTCAGGGCCATCGTAAACCGGCACATGTCGCTAAAATACAGTACTGGAATTAAATTAACGTGATTTTTCAACACTTGGGAGTCCCCCTGCACGTCCTACCGTCGTTGTGAATTCGTTTCTGGCTGTGTTGCACTCTATTTTTTTGTTTTATATTCGGGGCCTTTGCGTTAATTCTTCGATTCGCGTGGTGGTCAGAGGCGCCTGGAGAGTGATCGTCTTGACACTACGCGAAGAGACGCCACGCGGCTTGGCGATGGGGATTCAATGTGGGACTTGTGTTTTTTGTTCATGGTACTTGTCATGGTACTTGGTGATGGCATACCCTGCGAACACAGACGGTCGGTTTAATCCCGGATTCTTGCACAAGGAAATTGAGTTTTTGAGGTCCGTAATACGGGCAGCAACAACAAAAAACATTTGTATTTTGTGTGTTTGCCTTGTGATGGGACTTTGTAGGATGATCGTTGAGTTTAATAAGGGTTCGCGGTGACCTGTAAGGTCTCAATTGGTATCTTAAGAAGGTAGGCACTGGCAAGGGGTTGACAGGTGTGTGATGGGGACACAAATGGTAAGATGATTAGTTATGACTCGCGTGAGAATGGTTCCTGGGTTATTGCGATAAATTTCAGCCCACGTTGCATGCGTGTATTTTTGTACAGTATGTTTAACTTTTTTCGCACCCTACGTAACCATCCGTGCTAATCGGAGGTTGCGGGGTAAGGCCAACAAAAATTAAACACAAAAAGCAGTTCTAAAGAAATGAGCTTTCAATATAGCTTTCAAAGTGCATTGCTCCGGTGGCTTCCAAATATCGCGATGCAAGAGCGTTCCAGACGGCGACATGAACGCATCTGAAAGCGTCAAAGCGGTCGTCTTTGTTCAATGGTTCGCCAAAATCCACTGCGAGGATGACCGAACTTCGCGTGATGGTTTATGCTCTTAGCTATGGGAGGACAATGGAGAATCCCGTGGACACTCGCGCAGAACAGGGAGAGAGAATACAAACGCCACAAAGGCGCCCGAGTCAGGAATCGAACCCAGGATCTTCCGGACGTGAGGCACAAGGAACACAAGTGTTACTATTGCGCCACCCTGCTGCATCATCATGCGTGTACAGTACGTTGTTACCGCGAGTTGTGTCGAAATTGAAATGCCGTTCTTATTTGGAACTGTCAATCAGCTTTACAAATCGTGTATCAAATCAGAACCGAAATAACCAAGATAAATAACAATCGTGTGTTATCAGACATGGGTAGTGGTAAAACAGCAAAGGGAAGTAATTGAATATACAAAGTGGGGCTCTCAAAATACTGAACCCTAATGAAGCTTCATCCGGCCCTGGCAATAACGCAGCACAACCCAGTACCAACAAAGCCACGTATGGGTGGATGAAACCACCTGAGCCCAGTGAGTCTCAGGCAACCCAGGCCCCCATCACCAACCAGTTCTAGGGGTAGACAAGACAAGCAGTTCATCATGCCACAGTCTTTTTTAGAACAGAAATCAACTTTGCTGGAATGTGCGGTGCAGGGGGAGGATGCCACCCTGCTGGAGCTGGAGCAGCGGCAGGAGGCGATGCTGCGCCGGCTACACAAGTTGCGGGACGAGGTGGATGATCTGGCGCGAGCCGTGCTAGTGCCCAGCGGGCCCCAGAGCTCAGCCCCTGCAGCCGGTGCAAGCTCCTCGCCGCAGCTTCGCTCGTGCCCTGCTCACCACCAACACGTTGGGCAGCTCGACACTATCCTTGGCATGGTACGTCGGTGCGGAACCATCAGCGTGGCAACATTGACAGCTTTTTTTGTATTTTTTTGGTCTTTCGCTAAAGTCACGTTGATAGGTTCAAAGAAAATTAAAAAAAAAAAACTACGACGTTTCGATCACAACACACGCGGTCGTCTTTAGAGGAGGCTGGCGATTCTGAGACAGGGATAATGCGAGGGTTAAGATACCAAGGCAGCAATCTTACACAGGCTGACAGGGTCACGTACAGACGCAGGCACACGAGGCCAAACTCAGAAATTGTGAAAGAGATGGGTACTTAAGGACAAACATTTACCCCTTTTCCACTGGCATACCCAAGCTAGACAGTTGCACCCATGCCATGAGGGCTCTGCACTCATGGCATGGGTGTCTTTACACCGGCTATTTTCTGTGCCGAGCCAGAGCCACACTGTGATACGCTATCCTCACAAAACATATGAATCTGGTTCAGGATCAACCAGAGCCAGAGGCGGGTTCAGTCATTTTCGTCATACGTTGCATCAGCAGCATGAGCTCGGGTTCTTCAGTGGATACAACTTGACACCTCTTGAGCCATGCTGGGTTAACTCGACATGGCCCCGGTTTGGCTCGGGTTGTACCAGTGGAAAATAAGTAATAGACTCGTATAGTGACATTGACCCCCCACAAACGCAAAAAACAGACATGTACACAATACGAAATGAAGGGGCAGAGTCAAAGAAAGAGGTGCCACGTTTAGCCTTGATTGCTATTATTTATCACCAGGTAAGACCTGATGAAATCATCTTCGTTGAGATATGCAATAATGTTCTGTAGTTAATGTCCATTGATTGTTAGAATGACTATTGCATCAGAAAATCTGAGATGGTTAATATATTCTCAATGTGTTTTTTAACAAAAGCAGAAAAGCGCACAGAGAAGCCATGGGAAAGTGCATGCTTGGAATTGCACAGAGAATGAGAACGCATGGCTTAGAGAAAATATGCAAGTTAGGGAGACATCGTATTGACTTTAAAGAAAACAAATGGGCTTGGGCAGGACACATTGCTAGAATTTCACCACTGACTACAGCACTTCTAGTAGTGGCAGTAGGAACTAAACTAATCATTGGTGATATCTTTGTCATCAGTCTGAATCATCCATTTCTGCCTGAAGCTGTGCTAAGAAAATGGCAACAACTCCCAAAGTATTGAAGGGCACACTTTCAAACTTGCAGAGATATGCGATATTTATAAGACAATCTGAGGTTGCGTTATTTGATTGTTGCATTTATAAGGTCAAGGTAAAAAGTAACTTACTTATTTGTTCTTTATTTTCTTCCATTTCCCTTCAAGGGATATTTTTCTTCCAAGATTCATTCAAGAGTTTTAAAATGACACCTGACTCACCTTTCTGCATACACTTCGAGGGACTTTACAATACCTGGAAGTCCACCGAGTGGTCTGGGTCGGGTCAAACTTCATTGACCTACATATAACGAAAGGGTGGTCAGATTGACCTATAATTAATTGGTCCAGTATCTTTCTTGGCTAAATACAAATATGTCCTCCAAATCTTATCAAAATTGGGGTTGATGAAGTACAGTCGTGACTGAATTTTCCTGGCTCTGTGCCTCCAGGGCGGTGGCGTCGTGCACGACATTGTGGTGGTCGCCAGCCCCGCGCGGCCGCCCCTGTCCGTGATCGTGCTGCACGAGCTGCTGCGCCACCGCTACCGCGTGCTGACCGCTGTACACGTCCACTCCAACGTCACCGCACCCGTGCCTCCTGCCCTGCGGCTCTGCCTGGGGCCGCCCAGCGCCAACGACTCCCGCAGCGACCACCAGCTCGTGCTCACCATCATCTGGAAAGATGGTGGGGGAACAGCGCACGCACGCATGCACGAGCGCACAAACTACATGGGTGCCTAGTGCCTCCGGTTGATAGGACAGCGATAAAGATAGGCCGTGTAGAAGTTTATTCCGCGTGCTGGAGTAAAATGTTGGGCATTATGCCAAATAACATGCGGTACAACTCAAACACATCAGAGAGCGAAATCCTTTAACAGACTGTTGGAAAGACCAACATATGGCGCACAACGTGATGGTGTCGCCAGCACCACACCCGACTGTCTTCGCTTCCCAAGTGCTCATGTTTTTAACACTTCATAGGTACTCAATTAAGGCTGATTCAATCTGGGGAAGGCCCAAGATAAATTTAGATATGATTCGCCACTGATGTTAGCCGTGGCCACGAATTGAGATAGAAGGTCGCCGTGTTCATAGCACGGTGGACCAACCAGTGCACCACTGCTCTAAACTGGTGGCGTGTGCACACACACACACGGGAGTGCGCAATTTTTCAGTGGGGTGGGGTATGCACGTACACACGTGCGTACACACGGGTGGCTTGGAACCTCTCTGTGAGATGGCGTTTAGTGAGATGGAGCTCAGTGAGACTTGGTGCTATTAGTAGTGCTCTCGTTCCACGTTGACATCGGTCCTTTATTTAACCACGTGAGAACCAGCTGAGATTAACTGCCTCCTTCGCCAGGGTGCTGTGATTTACTGTGTCCACACAGCAGCATCTCTTGTTTATTTTTTATTTATTTGAGATTTGCGCTCTGGGGTTTTCCTTTAAAAGTCTGGCGATATCTCCGTTGCTACCAGTATATTTTGATGCCGCTATATTTTGATTAAAAAATCTGATGAGAGTAAGCCATCGTTAAGTTAGGAGTGATACTCTATGACTCGTTCCACCCTTGTGATTGACCACTTTATAACGTATTATGATTATTTATCCAGGAGAGCTTCACTGAGTTGATACTCTTTTTTTCAGGAGTGTTCTGCTTTGGGAAATTTGGCAAATGCCAGCTTAATCCGTGTTTAATAAGATCTTTAACATCCACTTCAGTATTTTCCATGCTGCACGTACATTTTGTGATGTGGGTGCAACAATGGCACAGTGGTTTGTGTACTGAAATTCCTGAGCACAGCTAATGTTCGTAGTGAGTGATATCTGAACTCAAAATCTTTATTTTATTTAGACTGGATGAATCTGATGAGCTATGAAGCTCTTTTTCACAGATGTCCAGTAGGAGCAGGTCAGAAAATTACAACAACAAACTGAACTGGTCCTGCATCCTGGACCCCCGCCCCTACCTCAACTCCCCCTTCATCAACCTGCATTGATTGGCCAGCTTGGTGAAGCATGGTCAAACCCCCCCCCCCCCCCCTCATGATCAACATGGTGTTGGGTGGCCTTCATCTCGCAGTGGATCGAAAAATGACTCAATGTTAAGTGAACGTTGCTCGTGGCATTCGAACTGCCGACTCGTCGGTTACTGACGCGATGACGAGCGTGCGGCTGTTAAGCCTCGTGTCGAACATGAGAAGACATTGATTTTCCCGACCTCAAGCCTCAGTCAGAGCCACGACAAGGAAACCTCAGCTGGGTTTACAAATTCAGAGTATCCGGTGTGGCCAGTAGATGGGTAAGCAGACACCTCGCACACACTTCCTCGCATTGAGGACACGGCTACGGCTGCGCCCTTTGATGCTGTTGATCATTTGGCTTTGTGTGCGTGCGTATGTGTGTGTAACCGTGTGTGTTTGTGCAATCGCATGTCTGTGTACAGCTCTGTGTGTGGATACGTGTGGGGAGCGATAGTGTAGCGGTTAGCGCGCTGCGCTATGAACCTGGCGACCCGGGTTCGATTCCCGCTCACGGCCAACACCAGTGACGATTATCTGAACCGGTCCCGGGCCTCCCCTAGGTCGACTCAGCCTCAAATGAGTACCTGGTGCGGTGTGTAAACATTGCCACTAGGGAGACAAAGGCGGTCGGGCGTGGTGCTGGCCACCCACCCCCTCGTGTACCGTTCCGGCCTTCATAGGTGCTTGCTAACAGCACTTGCCCCTACAGTCTGTTAAGGCTATATGGGGGATCTTTGTCTTTGTATATAAGTGGAGAGCGGTGGTGCAGTGGTGAGCACGACACGAGTTTGATTCCCTCTCACGGCGAATAACAGTGACGATTAACGGAACCAGTTCTGGGCCTTTCCTAGGTTTCCTCAAATGACTATCTGGTGCGGTGTGCAAAAACATCGCCACTGAGGAGGCAATGGCGGTCGGGCATGGTGTTGGCCACCTACTGTACCCCCCTTTGTGTGCTGTACCGCCTTTCATAGGTGCTCGCTAACGGCACTTGCCCAAACAGTCTGTTAAGGCTACACGCGGGATCTTTGTCTTTGCAGTACCACGGCCCGAGCTGCGCGTGGACGTCACTCACGCGTGCCCCGTCCTGGGCGAAGGCAACGTCGCTCGCTTCCTGTGGGCGCTGGCAGGCGCCACCCGGAGCGACCCGGTCGCACGCACGCAGGATGATGCCTGGGTGGACGTGGCCATGCTGCAGCTGCTGCCCGCGGGCCCCAAGGAACGGGCGTCTGTGCTCAAGGTCCTCAACGCCGAGCTGGGCCGGCCTGGCCGCCCCTGGCTGGGCGGCGCCGAATTTTCGCTCGCCGACATCGTCATGTGGAGCGCCCTGGCGCAGTCGGGAGGGCCCGCAGCCGTGGGGGTGCCCCCGCACGTGGCGCACTGGCGCCTGGTATGCGAGGCACACCCTACCTTCCAGACGGCGAAGGGCCTGCTCTAGCGGGGGGGGGGCCATGGAGGGCTCCGTTCCCCTACCCCCATGACGCCCCCCCCACGATCCGTGGTGCAGAGCTCCTGTCGTGGAACTGCATCGGTGCGATGCCACTCCAACTCCACCTCCCCTGCCCCCCACCCCTCCACTACCACCGTTCCTGTCCCACTCCTGTCTGCAATTTTCATGACGGATTCTCTGTGGGAGTTAAAATGCGCTTCTGCTCGTTCGTGGCTTGCCGCTGCATTTCCCCCCTTGCACGTTCAATGCATGGTCATTGTGCAAGCGAGTGTCGTTCGAGAGTCTGAAATGTTTGTTTAAAAGAAATAAAATTATATTTAAAAATAAAATCGCAACAAAATGACTCGACTGATAGCGTGGAGGCCATGGTGTGTGGACACAAAGCGTGCATTGCACGTGATAAGCAGCTAAGTCCGTGGATAATTTGGTCGGTGTTGTAGAATGAGTGAATAGGTATATTTTTGGGAAGGTTATAAAGCTTGTAAGTGTGAGTTTTTCTAAGGAAGCGAGCGAGTGAGCTCATGAGTGTCTGTGTGTCCGCGAGCAAGCAAAGCGAACAGGGTCAACTGGCTGGACGGCTGCACAGAAGATGGCACGGTCGCCCGTCGCGTCGCCCCTTAAGCGGAGCTGCTGCTGCTGCTGCATTATTAACGAGAGCCTCTCTCCGCCGCGCTCCACGCCGTTTATTGGCGTTCTCTGTAGGTTGAAAGGTTGCACCGTCCTGGGCGGCCAGGGCGGTGGGGGGAGGGGTAGGCGATGGAGGGGGACCCCTCCCATCCGCACCTCGCTCCTTCCCCCCACAGAGTCTGTCAAAGTGTGCCCCCCTTCCCTGAAACCCACCATTCCCCTTGGAGCCTTATCTCACAAAGCCAGATTAATTTTAATAACCTGAAAAGATGCTCGCTTTAATTATTTATGATCGTATCAATCGGTGCGCAGATGAAGCGCGGCGCGCTGTGCTGCTTCCCACTGTCCTTGGGCCCTCCTGGTGAGGGCCCTTCCTGTGGGCCCTCGGGTGTCACTGGACCCGGGGCTTTTATCGTCGGTTGCAGAGGTTGCCTGTGAGGAACTTTTACTCGCAGGCGGTTTTGTTTTTGTGCCCATCCTGGAAGTAAATGTCAATAATTTCAACGTCTTCTTCTTCCGTACGGTGTATGTACAATGCGGGGGAGGGTTGGGGCAACAACTACGATTTCAGAATTCAGGTGGTCAAGCCAGACACCTGCGTCAAGGAGTAGTGTGTTGCCGCGATGTCTCCTTCGTATTTGTGGAGCGGGCATCGCTTCGTTTACACTGTTGCACGGTCTGATCTGGATGACCACAGTAGCACACTGGAGAATTTTACATTTTCCACTTGTGCATCGGCTATCCGCATCTTCCGTGGTTTCTGCGGATGCGGTTTAGGGTGGACCATGACCATTGTAAAAAATCAAACCCAACTTGTAGTGCGATGCCGCACAATTTTCGCTCTGGCAGAGCGAGGACGACGACTCCCGAAGCAAACGGGAAAGGCAGCAGCCACACGGTGAGCCAGCTTCAAATCCTCCCCCCCCCCCCAGTTCTGCAGTCCTCTATATATTAAGGTGTTCCCAGCCAATTAAGTGAGTACGTGTGGGAGGAAACCGGTGCGCTCATAAAAAAACCCACGCATGCAAGGAAGGAAACGCTATCCAAAGTAGAGGTGACATGAAATTAGTCCCTGCTTTGCTGTACAACCTGGTGAGCCAGGGTATGGCTTCGACTCGACATCCTTCGGAAAGAAGTTTCACAACATTTGTGCAATCCAGCAACCCTCGCCTTCACGGTGCTGGATTACCGGCATGCGCCACCACCCTCTGGTGTATGTTGCCGTTGTGGCTTGATTGAACCACGTTGGAAGAGTGGAGATTGTCATGTTTAGATGGATGTTTGGAGCAAGACGCAACGTCTCTGCTACTCCGTGGGTCAAGAGAGTCGTTCTTTGACAATGAAACTAGAAAGCACAGTAAAACCCCGGTCTACATCGGGTGGGGGAGGGGATGCGTTCCTGAAATGCGCGACGACGAATTTCGAGACGGTACAAATCAAAGCGATTGACAGGGCAGTAGGTGGTGGAGGTGAAGGCTGAGAGGCGACGGATAACGAGAAAGGACGGATGACGATGCTGACAGCGACGTAAAAGTGTGTGGTTTGGGGCGACGCAAATCCGGTAGCGGTGTTAACAGAGTGACGATGTAGTTGCGAAACGACGTGAAAAGGATGAGACGCAAATCGTGATATTACTCCATAACAGGTTTCTTGGGTTAGATCACGTGAATATATGTGTCGTTAAACCCACCACCACCTGACACAGCCCATTGGTAAGGTTTGCCACGTAAACAGAACATGCCAATTCGTTACTGGAACAGCACACCGGCGTGTTGGAGAGCAAAGCCACAACATTTACTATCAGTACGACGTTTCGCCAGTATCAGGCAACGCCCAAAATCTGGCTGTTGCCTGATGAAGCTAGCTGTAATTTTAACGACACTTTTATATATTTGCGCGACCTAACCCAAAAAAAACATCATGGATATTGGTCGCGAAAGCTTATGTGTTAAACCTGGATATCACTGTAATCCTCTGCCTTTTGAGTACGGGTGCAAGTGAAAAATAATGAAGAACACATTCAATGGATGGCTCGGGTTAACAACGTGTAAGTTGGTGTGTGCGTGTGAGACCAGATTTGTAGACTTCAATCGACACCGAGCACACGTTTCCAACTGCGTCTTACTTTCCAGGGAGTCCTGATAATCCGGTATTTATTTGGCCGTGAGAAAGAGACCGTCAGTAATCCGATGCTTTGTATTTAGGCGCTAGGGGGCGCTGCAGACCCTGAGAGTCGGGATTAGTGTGGCGTGGGGGACTGGCACTGGGGCTGTTTAGAGGTAGGGAAAGGACACCGCCTCGCACGTCGATTGGTCAATGGCTTTAGACGGCAACAGCTGCTCCCTTGTAGAGAGCACGTGCTCGTGGTTCATAATGGCCGACGGATGGTAGATAATTTGCTATTAGGATTGTTTACCCAGGAGAGTCTCAAAGGCTTGTATGTACTACGTATGTGGAACTTCTTTCGCACCGCACGCAGCCAACCGTGTTAATCAGAGGTGTGGACTCATAACGATTTTTTTTGCTAAGTTTTCACAGGAGGAGCCAACGATCGCTGTACCCTAGTCCAATTTCGGAATTTGCGAGTCGCTGATATAAGATGTCTGCTGTCACCAATAAGTATACATTTTACCAACTTTGGGCGAAAGACTTAAACATAGCACATTCGCCCAGGTTGTGCTATGAATATACTGGTTCCCGCCATAGGATGTCGTGGGATCGATCCCGGCCCTAACACCTGTATATTTCGAGTTTGCATGTCTCTCTCCCCGTGGTCGCGTGGATTTTTCCCCGGGGCTTCCGGTTTTTACCTCCACGTTTAGAATCAACATCACGCCTTTAGAGTAATATGGCTGCTATACATTTCCACGTGATAAGCCGCTTCATTGAGCTATCATTTGTGGCCAGGTCGCTTCTGAAAAAAAGCCATATAGCTCAGTGGGCCTTACCTAGGTTAATTGTCTCACGTAGTACCGCGCGTACATTTTTGTTCTCAAGACTTTTTGACCTCGCGGTCACCATTACCAGGACGGGTCCCACCAACCCCCCCATTCATGCACCGCTACTGTGCTGAAGGCTGCCCCCCACCACCCAAGTTTAAACGCAACGCTAAATGTGCAGCCCTGAAAATGCTGGCCTCCAACTAACAGTGAGCTCTGGAAAGCCCACTAGAGAAGAGGGTTTTGTGGCGAAACTCCACAATACCTTTCTGATCTCGTCAAAGGAGCACAAAACATCACGCGAACTCCAGTCATCATCATAGCAGCAGCTTTTGAGGCTGGCCATTGAACAAAGACAGTCACCGCATCGCGCGCTTTCAGAAGCACTTCTGTGACCTTCTGGAATGCTCTTCCTTCCGATATTAGGAAGCCACTGGAGCTATGTACCTTTAAATAATCTAGATTGAAAACTAATTTCTTTGGAACCGTTTTTTAAATTTAATTTGTTGTCCTTCCCCCGCGGCCTCCGATTAGCGTGGTTGGCTACATCGGTGCGAAAGAAGTTCAATATATACGTGTACATAGAATGACCCACACGCCAGTAGAATGGTGACGAGCGAGACGTCTGGGTGGGTAGAAGGGTGACGAGCGAGACGTCTGGGTGGTAGAAGGGTGACGAGCGAGACGTCTGGGTGGGTAGAAGGGTGACGAGAGAGACGTCTGGGTGGATAGAAGGGTGACGAGAGAGACGTCTGGGTGGGTAGAAGGGTGACGAGAGAGGCGTCTGGGTGGACAGAAGGGTGACGAGAGAGACGTCTGGGTGGGTAGAAGGGTGACGAGAGAGACGTCTGGGTGGACAGAAGGGTGACGAGAGAGACGTCTGGGTGGGTAGAAGGGTGACGAGCGAGACGTCTGGGTGGGTAGAAGGGTGACGAGAGAGACGTCTGGGTGGGTAGAAGGGTGACGAGCGAGACGTCTGGGTGGGTAGAAGGGTGACGAGAGAGACGTCTGGGTGGGTAGAAGGGTGACGAGAGAGACGTCTGGGTGGGTAGAAGGGTGACGAGAGAGACGTCTGGGTGGGTAGAAGGGTGACGAGCGAGACGTCTGGGTTGACAGAAGGGTGACGAGAGAGACGTCTGGGTGGGTAGAAGGGTGACGAGCGAGACGTCTGGGTGGGTAGAAGGGTGACGAGCGAGACGTCTGGGTGGGTAGAAGGGTGACGAGCGAGACGTCTGGGTAGGCGCCGAGGCCCCGTTACTTCCAATGACGCGGCGCCGGTTAATTCTCCCCCCACCCCTCCGCCCCCTCCCCCCTCACAATTCGATTGTTCCTGCTTGTGCTGCCGCTTGACTTCGTTCCGCCCCGTGATTGCCCCATCCATTACTCCTCCTGATGTGTGGGGGGGTGGGGGGGGCACGGGCGAGGGGAGGGGCGCGATTCGCCCTCTCTGCATCTGTGACCTCACAAACATCCCCAAAAGCCTGCCGTTTTAATTTCCCTCCTAATTTTCCACACTGTTGGGTTGTTGTTATTATTACGATCATGTCTTTTTTGGGGGGGAGGAGGGGGGCTCTGAGGTGGTGGCGAGATGGAGGAGTTCGTGCCTCGAACTCCTCCACCTCTCATCAAACCCACGAGGTCATTGATTGTCCAACCAAGCCTCGCTCAGTCTCCATTTCTTTTTTTCTTTCACCGTCAGGAGGAGTCCTGCGCCACACCGGGAATGTTTAGGACAATTCCCATTTTAAATCGGGAGACATTTGGTTTCGTGTGGTGCCTTAC